GTTTGATGAAATAATAAATAATTTCTTCCTCAGCCATTATAAAATCATTCTGTATAAAACCCCTTAATGTACTCCTGCTAGGGCCTCCACTTATAAACCCCTCTAGGTAAGCATTTATCACGAATTTTTATCAACTCTGGAACGTGATGTACATTTCATAGTTCAAATACATGTTTTCTTTTTTCCTTTTGCCAATGACATTATGCACAAAGGGCTTCAGTTGGCAACTGGTTTACTTGTATTTTGTTGTCAAGCTTAGGGCACTTTTCCTACCCAGAGTGAATGAGCCTGTATTGCTCACCACCTTCTATGCCTGCCAATCTCTCCCACATCCCTCTCAGAATCTATTTCCTGCCTGAAGAGATGCTCCAGAGATGTGCAAGTGCAATAACCAGACCAACAATGGACATCAGCTGCAGAAGATGCTCTGCTTTGTTGAAACATCTGAAGGCTAAAAACATGGACTACGGGCTGACGGGTGATAAACCTCTACACATCATGGTGTGAATACACATGGTTGGGCTCAGGCACCACCCTGCAGTAGCCCCTTCGCTTGGTTTCCTCCAGATCCATGTTAGCAGGAGCTCCAGAGCAAAGCTGTCTGAGCCCACTTCAGCTGTATGTGTGCACCCAGGGCAGGCGACACTTCTGCTTCACATCTCCTTCATGCTCTGACCCTGCGCCACTCCAAACACTGTGCTGCACCTCAGAGCACATGTACTGCTCCCAAGAGCAGCTATTATTGTTTGCAGTGATTTTGCACAGTTCAAAGATAGACAAAGAGGTTTCCTGTCTCACTGTTTAACTTCCCATTCCACTTGGCTCTCTTTTTAAATTGAAATTAATATAACAAATCCCCTGTAAGAGAACAACAGTATCTGCTCCCATTTCTCCCTGCAAGTGTGAAGATAGAATAGCTAAAGCACCAAGTCCAGGATGAAATCAATTCTATCCACTGTGTACAAGTAAAATGTGAAATAAAAATATGCATGTTCATGAGCTATTATAAACATTGAGGGGTTTATATGAGGAATGTTAGCTTATCTGTCTTACTTCCACAGAGCTTTTCTGTATAACAGCAGCCAAAACAACTTGTTCCTTCTAAGAAACAGTGTGATGCAGCACAAGTAAAGCAACTTAAATACCAGTATTGCAAATGAATTGCATCTACAACCCTAAGAGCCACTTTTCATATTTGTTACATGAGCCATTTATGTCCAAGCATATTTCAGAACCAAGGAATGACTAACCTAAGCAGAAAATCTGTAATGATAGTGATGATGGCTACATTTATTTGCACTTGGGTAGCGGGCAAGAGCCTCAGTCATGCACCGGGAAACAGGAATGTGAAGCACTGCATGACCTGTGAATATTTAAACAGGCTTTATCCCTAGAGCTTACACAATATATGAAACAACTTAATGCAGCTCCTTGGCTCCTTGCATCATGCCCAAGTATCCTGGTTTAACAAGCACTCCATTATGGTTTTTAATGTTGCAGCTGAGTCATGTCAATCTAGATCTGTGTTCCAGACCAGGAAGCAGTTACAAAATTATGAGTGCTCTAGCTCTGAATGCACTTACTTTAGAGAAGATTGTCCAGTATAATGGGATAAGCAACCATCACTTGTATTTCCAGGACTCCCAACTGTTACTTGCAGTGGTTTATCAGGAGTGGTTTTGGTTTTAATTAAATGACATTCATTAAATAAAATATAAACTAAGCAATGCTGTCATTATCAATATATAGCCAAACAGCATTATTTAAGCTTAGAGGAGGAGGGAAGATCCTTGAGGGCAAATCATTGCTGTAGCTATTTTCACTATAAGAAGTGTACCATTTGCGTTATCCAAACCCTACTGAAATCACTGAGAGTCAGTCAATTGACCTGACTGGATATGGAATGAGCTTCCAATCAACAGCTGCTGCAAACCTTGCACTGAGAGACCCAATAAAGTTTTACTGCCTTTTACCCGAAGTACTTATTCCTTTTATGAATTTGAACCCCAGATTTAAACCCATAAATAACAGTAATTCCCAAATGGAATCCAGTGTGATCAGGAAGATCTGAGAAGGCTGTTATAATAAAAGAGACAGCTGCCATGAATGTAGCTCTTGGCATGTGCAGGGTAGAGTGAATGTCTCTAACATCAATCTAAATTGAGTTGGTGTGTTTATACAGCTGCTAAGTACACAGGAAAGTTCATCATCATAACCAGTGCTCTTACCACTTCCAAAAATGCTACCAACAATTTCAGAGAGAAAGACATTAAAATGACCAAAAGAAAGAGGAAGAGTTGGAAAGAATTTCTGAGTTAAGACTGTCTTATAGCAACACAATATTCATACAATAAACCTCACACATAAAATCAATTTAACAGCTATCTTTTTTCAAACTACATTTCAATCCCCACACAGTATTGCTGTGTGTCTATTTGCCTTTCAATAATTTAATGGTGTTTGCTCCTGCCTTGGGCATATGAACCTACAGAGCCTGGAGATACTTTTTATTAGAGATTCCTTGCCAGGGGCCTTTTCTAAGTTTGCAGAGGTCACACATCCCACTACCCAGCTTCCTTCATTATGTACACTCCAACATGTAACTGAATCAGCTACCACTGAAAAGAGTATGAAATGTCATGAGCTAACCCATAAATACAAATCCACGCTATTAGAGGATAGGAATATGGCCATTAGCGACAGCAAGTGGAATGATGCTGGGGAACAGACCCACTGATAATAATTTAGCTATGTCCTAAAGCAACCAGTAGCCAAGAAAAAAAAAAGCATACGTACCAGATAATAGCAGAATCCACCAATACTTAGAAATCAACTCCCCAAAGCCATTAAAATCTCAACCTAGAACATACAGAATGTGCTCTCCTTAATTTTTCCTCTCTCCACAAGTTAACTCCCCCTTCATGGTGGTGTTATATGTTTATCCTTTTTCTGTAGAACAGCACTTGTTAGCCTAACAAGTTACTGCAAGAAACAAAAATTTGTAATTGGTATGACACAGCAATGAACATGGATGAGCTTGTACTTACACATACACCCACAAGTACCAGAAGAAGCTGATGCTAAGAAGGAAAATGCTCAACTTCGCATCCCAGCTTCCACAATCTTGAGGTAAGTCCTGACTCCTCTTGGAAGCTACATTTCAATCCTGACCATTCACAACCACTGCATTTCTTAAGACATTCTGCAGCCTTGTCAAGCTCTTTGCCTTATATTCAATGGTGACTTACTGAAATAAACACGCAGTTTATACACTTGAATACCAGGTACTTTCATAGCCTAGCCTCAAGATCCATTAGTGCCAAACAACAGGACTAGAGGCTTCTTTAAGTTTGTTTAGTATCCTCAACCTTTCTGAATATTTTTACTTCTCACATAAGAGAGCCCGGGACTGAAAATAAAAAGATGTGTACTTGTGAAGATTAAAATCTCTCTCACAAATTGAACGTATTATGCATCTGTGCTACTTGGCAGACCAGTGCATCAATTTCAAAATAAAATAGTGTTAACAGCTCTAGAAGATTTTTATCTCTTATAGCTTCCTGTACTCTGGGTGAATTGCATGGGCAAAAAAAATTGATCTAGCCTTTTAGACAGTGAGTTAAACAGCTTTTAAATCAAACATGATGCCCATGCAAGACAATTTATCATTTTTTTTAGATCATTTTAAGTAACAAAACCCTGCTCTTCAAGGAGTGCCTCTCAATCTGGACTTTATGTATCTGATCATAGTTTCTGTCACACTACCATAATCCTTTGGATATTTATTTACCCTATTTTCATACTTGTACCATCCTGGCTCATTACCACATCATGAGGCTGAACTATGATCCCAGCAGTAGCGCTGACGTTTATTACAGGGTGGAGAGCAGTTACTCGCACTGCAAATGAACTCTGCTTCAGGAAACTTCTCTCTAACTGTGCTAAAATATACGGGGTTTGGATTCTCACATTTTATTAGCAACCATCATTCTTCTTTCACAGCTACATCACCACAAATTTGCCTATTTCTTATAACTGTAAGCATAGCTCAAGTCTAATGAATGACCATAGACCAGTGCATGAACTGTACGTACTACAGGCATAGATATTGTCATGTGCTCAAGGGAAAATCAAATTTACAACTCATTAGATAACTAAACATAACTGTGGGTGAGTGTCTAAGCACTTTAAGAAAATGGGTTTTGGGTTTTGGGTTTTGCCCGAGTGCTAAGAAAGTTGCTTTGTTCTACTTGACATTATTCTGTGTATACATTTTTAGTATATATTAGTAAATATTACAAAAAAAAAATTAAAATGCTACTATTCAATATTCTACAGCTTAAATCAGTCACTTCACATGTGCTTCTAAACAAGAATCTCTTTAGAGAAGAGATTCAGAGCAGCCCTGTGGAGAAGGACTTGAGGGTATTGGTCGATGAGAAAATGAGCATGAGCCAGCTTCAGTGTGTGCTTGCAGCCCAGAAAGCCAACCGTATGCTGGGCTGCATCAAAAGGAGTGTGACCAGCAGATTGAAGGAGGTGATCCTGCCCCTCTACTCTGCTCTCGTGAGACCTCACCTGGAGTATTGTATGCAGTTCTGGTGTCCTCAACATAAAAAGCACATGGAACTGTTGGAGCAAGTCTAGAGGAGGGCCACGAGAATGATCAGGGGACTGGAGCCCCTCCTGTATGAAGGCAGGCTGAGAAAGTTGGGGCTGTTTAGCCTGGAGAAGAGAAGGCTGCGTGGAGACCTCATAGCAGCCTTCCAGTATCTGAAGGGGAGCTATAGGGATGCTGGGGATGGACTCTTCATTACGGACTGTAGTACTTGGACAAGGGGTAATGGGTTAAAACTTAAACAGGGGAAGTTTAGATTGGATATGAGGTAGAAATTCTTTTTTTCCTGGAATGGATTGCCCAGGGAGGTTGTGAATGTTCCATCCCTGGTGGTGTACAAAGCCAGGTTGGATGAAGTGGGTGGCATGGTTTAGTATTAGGTGTCCCTGCCCATGGCAGGGGGGCTGGAACTAGATGATCTTAAGGTCCTTTCCAGCCCTAACTATTCTATGATTCTATAATTACATTCAGAAAGCCAAAGACCATCAAGCCTTATTAATGGAGCAGTGAAACAAATAATAAACAACTTTTTCAATAGGAAAACAGTTTTGTTTATCACATTCCTATTTTAATGAATGGGAAAACATCATGAACAAATTTTTTTTTCATGAACATGGTTTTTAAAAATGAAAACATTCAGATAAACCAATAATGTAGACTATAGCTTGTTCATAGGGCAATAATAAATGTATGTACTTGTTACTTTTGGAGCAAACTCTCTGCCAAGCAGTCTTCCCAGCTGCTCTCAGGCAGCTTCAGTGGCAGGAGTCAAGGGAAACATCAGGAGCAGAACAGGACCCAGGATGCTAATCGCATGTGGGCACTTTGTGCTCCTGTCACCAAGACTCCAACCACTGGCATGACAGAAGAGAAAGGAAAAGCCAGGAAAAGTGGAGTTTTCCCTCCCTTGGTGATTTTCAAAGGATTTTCCATGAAACAATGATCTTTACTTTCTTTTGATACCACATCATCTGTTCTTTACAAGATCATATTTTTAAATGCCTTTAATGATGCAAATAAATGATGGTAAGAATTGCTGAGTCTTCTCTGAAGTCAATGGGGCTCTGCCAATTACACTAGCACACTGGCAGTCTTTTTAACAGGAAAATGCCATGAAATCAGTAAAGCCTACCAGTTAAGAGAGCTATTGGGGAAATTAGAGGAACATCTTGTCTGTGAATTATTAATAAACAATATACAGTTCAATTATTCACCCAAACAAGTCATGTATATATTACAAAATATTTTTGGCAGCAAGGTTTAAATAGAAAGTTTTGCTATTAAATGGAGTTTAATTAACAAGTACAGTTACCTAATTGAAAACAAACACTTTCCTATTATTAGCTAGTACATGCAGTAGAACAACTGTATTTGCTATATATTGAAGAACCACAGAGTCAAATTATTTACAGAAACACTAGTAGTTACTGAATTTACCTACATATAGGGGTTATGGTAGTTTCAAATTTCAATCGAGAATGTTTTTATTCCACTGAAAAATAAAAATAGGATACAGTATGTGACATGTGAATATAGATATTGGCAATGAAGGTGTTCTACAAGCAAATTATTGAAAAAGCTCGGTTACTTAGAAAAGCAGTTCAGGTAAGCAAAATAGATAAACATGTGAGACATGAATTATAACCACATACTGGAAAAGAGTAGCTGAATGGGTGGGGAAATGTTACTAATTATTAATAAAAACTCAATTTCTATAAAATTTAATAGTAACATATTTCTCTATATGAATGGACTGCAGCCACTCAGTAAAGATTTTCCTTCTGTATTAGAACATTTATATCTTCTCTAAATGGAAACAGTAAGCCAATTCTCCAGTATTTCAGTACTATACCATAACAAACTCCACTATACTAAATTTTACTATTATTCCTCTGTACTAAATTCTACTATTACCCACTGGACAGTCAAGTAGATTAAACTTTTTCAAACCATTAATCAAAGCTGCTGCCTTTCAAGATGAGGCTGTTGAGTGGACCTGACACTGAGGACAAATTCTCACTGCCTTAGACACACAGCTGTTATTGTGCTGTTACTATTGCAGTAAGGAGGAGGATCCCACATCCCTGTGATGCAAACTAGAATATAAGCAAGGAACACAGCTTCTGTTGTAAAGAACTGAAATATATAAGTAAATACTCATTCTACATCTAATGTAATAGTAAGAAAACTAACAAATTCAGTATGGGTATCTCTTAAAAAGGAAATCTCCATTAACCACTAGAAGCTATACACTACCCAAACAACGGCTTCACCGTTCCCTGCCCAAGCACCCAGTATGCTAGTCGTGCAATCTATGATTGTAGTTAATATACTAAGTCTGTCACTCTGTCAGTCTTCCCAAATATTTGGTGATCCTCAATTATTTTTAGTTTGATTAGTTTCTTACAATAGTGTACTTCCATTTTATTTTATTTTCTGGCACATCATTAGATCTCTTCAGCACTTTACAGCCAAAGGTTCACTATATATAATATAGAAAATGACCTTTCATTTCAGTAGGTATTCCCCATTCCATATATACATCTGCTTCCAGCCGCCTTAAAATTCTCAAACTTTCCTTTCTAACTGTTTGTGTGCCTCTATGACCATTTGTGTGCACATCTTTATCACTCTTGATAAAATAATAATTTGGTTTATAAGCTTGCTTCAGCTTTATTCACAGCAATTTACTTAACCTGAACTATTCACAATTCCACTGGGAAAAGAGGTTTACATAAACAATATGATAGCAAAGTTTTTTCCCATTTGCTCTGATGCAAGTAAAAATCAGTGTTAATGAAATATATTTATCCTAGGCTGCACAGCATGAGAATTAAAGGAAAAGAAGTAATGACTATGCAGCATGGAACGTTTTCATATCAAATGGGTAAACAAGTTGAAGTTATGATCACATTTGACAATGTGGTAAGACTTGAAGAACCTCAAAATTAAGCTTTTATTCATAGTGCTGCTTTTATTCATGCTGCCCAAATGGCAGGACCTGATCTCCCAGTCTCTTCAATGTAGTCATGCAGAACTGTTTCCACAAAATGTGCATTCACCAGCCTACTGCTCAATATACTGAGAAAGGAGATTTTTCTGTGAAACTTCTTAGGTCACTGTATGGGTAACATGAGCAATGAAATTCATGTGTAACAATAGCAAAGTCATTGCATGACATGTTTTCTAGGATCAGTATTTGATAATATATGTCTGAACATTGACTGAATTTTTTTTCAGTCCAGCCTCTAATCAGCAGGATGTTAACTTCTGAAAATTCAAATGCACATGCAAAAAAAGAATCCAAGAAATTAACTTGATGTGTGGAGACAGAAAGATATCTTCCAATTACTTTTACCATGTATTGTGATAAATGCACATATTTAGGTTTTCTTTCTTTTTATCCATGCCTCTGAAAGAGTTACAGCTTTGTAGGATTAAACAAATGACAGCCTTTGTTTAGAGTTTACATTGTTATAAAAGATTTTCTAATACTATGGAGAAAATGAAGATTAGTACTGCCATGCCCTGCTTTTGTTCCAGACATATTTTGAGTGCACAGGGGAGAAGGAAGTGCTCTAAGGCACCAAAAGGAAGGCTTAGCCCCATTTCACACCACTTAATCACAGATTACAAACAGCAGGGGACAAGAAATCAAGTCTTTCCCCATTCCTAAACATTATGGGGCTTGTTTCTATGCATGTTTTTTCTTAGGAGGAAATATCTAATTTAACATGCCTATTAAGACAAAGGGATGAGTTCTATCCTATATTTAATTGGGTTATATCAAAACTTGATGGGAGGAATGTGTTTGCAGGTTTTTACTACAGGGTAATTAATTTGATTTACCACTTACATTCTGCTTGTTATTAAATTCACCAGGAATTTATACCTAAATCAATTGATACTTAAACAACCACATATACAAAAGTAAAAAGTCCATGATGCTAAAGAGGAAATACCAGAGATGTGTACCTCCACTATTTATTGAATTCTTCTAGCATTATCAAATGCTAGAGTTCAGAAACACAACATGTGGACTATATAGTGCTGTACATTCCAATGCAGAGCTCCACAGGGCAAGTGATTTGTACTGAAAGAGGAGCATAAACCTTCAGAGTCAGTCTCCCTAATCCTCTACCACCACCACTCAGAAAGGTATAAAACTACTTACCAATTGTTGTAAAACTGCTTTTAATCTTCTGCTAATGCTGCACATCCAGATGCATAAAAGCTGAATAATACATCAGGAAAAGTTTAACCTAAATTTTTTATATGGAAGGAACTAAGTGTGAGCACAGACAACGAAATTTAGTTCTTTGAATTCTGAAGTTTTTTCCACTCAGTAAAATGCATACCTTTGAAGAGAAGTTATTTGAACAATTCTATATAGAACAGGTTCAAAAGCTTTTTTACCGGTCAAGGTAAGATTGCTACCTCTCAAAAGAAAAATTCATACACCAGAAAAATAGTGTGAGAAATGGCTTGTCTGATATGAATACATTTCTCTCATCAGTCAATTAACAAAACTATAATGATTCTTAAAAAAAAGGAACTGTTTGGTGTCACAAGAATATGTGCAATATCTTGTAAATGCAAATAAATTAATTTTAGAGCAAAATAAATAAGAATTTTGAAAATTAGTAACTTCCTAATTTTCATTTTCAGAAAAGATTATTATTAAATAATAACTGGTTTTGCTTTCTTGGGATCTACATCTGTGTGGAATAGCCTGCTGATTTATTTTTGACCCATACTCGATTTATTTGCATTATCTATAAATAAAATACTACAGCCAAATCTGTTACACTGTCACAGAGCTACCCTGTAGCAGCAGCACTTCCCAAAAATGTTCCCATCTCCTGCAAACTTAATTGCAATGCCAGAGAGAAAGATTAAAAGTGCTATTAAGTAACTACTCCAAAATAATCATACGTGTTAAAACATACCACTTCTACTTGACAAAACCACGATATATTGCAAAACTTCTCTCATAATCAAGGTAAGCCATACTTCTTTGTTTCAGGTTATTTCTTTCTGCAAAGACAACTTTTCTTTTCTTCCCTCTTGTAGCTTTGTCTTGCTCTTGCTTTGGCAGAGTCATGCTGAATACTTGGTTTAATGCCAAGCAGCCCAATTTCATGGCACTCTTTCTGGCATCCAACATCCATCAGAGTGTTTTCTTAGGCAACAACATGTCAGGTTATTAGATTACATATGATTTTATCACCAGCAGACATGGTTACTCCAGCGCTCCAGATATTTACCCCTTTGCTTCATATCGTTTACTACAATCACAGCCAAAAGCTCACACAATAAAAGAACCTCAGTGTAATTTCTCCACTAGCCATTCAAGCTACCAGCTTTGCTAGCAGTGCTCAAACAGCCTTTTAGCTTGATGGTTTTCCTACCTTCAGGAGCACAG